CCGAGTGGCCACAGCGGCGGGAACGAGCACGGCGTAGCGGAGGCCAGTCCACAAGAAACCTGCCACAAGGAACCCACCCCCGAGACCCCAGGACGTCCATCGATTTGTTTTAACCACGGAGGCCTCTCTTAGAGATCTCAAGGGTCCTAGGGGTGCTCAGGGCCACGGGCGGCGCAGACGAGTGAACGGCCACGCTCCTGGACGTCCATTGATTTTTGGTGTGGGAACGTCACGCCTTCCACAGCAAAGCCCTCGAAGCCCAAGAAACCCAGGGCACGCTGGAGGCCAGCAGGGTGCTTCTGGGCATGGGCCTCCACTGTAAGACGAAGTCAGGAGGATAATCACATCGGGCGAGGACAAGTCGAGATTCTCTCTGAGATCTGGCGGTGTGGGGGATGTCTCGGGCGCCGCGGCCCTCTCTGCGAGCGCTCTGGACCGCTCTGGGATGGACGTAATTGTCCTCGTCCTAACCCCGTCCGACGATGGCCACGACCAGAGCTGCACGCGAAAACGTCAGCGCGGGTCTAGGCCGTCGTCCGCCTTGGTCACCGTCGATGCGTGGCCAACCCTCGCAACTCGGCGACGGCCAGCATGAGCCATGACCGAGGTGCGCGCGGCCAAGATCCCGCGACATCCTCGCCGTGGCTGTCGTGCACCCTCTTTCGGCACGACGACGCGCCGCCACCGCGGGCTCCTTGCCCAGGTCAATGCAAACCTGGGTCAATCCAAGCCTGGGTCAGTCAGGTCAGGCCCTGCAGGATCCGTCAGAGGATCCTGCAGGATACCGCGAGATCTTGTACGCAACCCGCGCCGCCAATGCACCCCCGGCCCTGCAGGATCCACAAGATCCGGCGCTCTTGGGGAAACCAGAAAGTACTGATACCGCTACTCCTGGGACCTCCTCCGGGGTGCGTTCTGACCAGGATTTCGAGTCGAATCTGGCGGTGGCGACGAGAACCTCCCAGGAGGCCCAAAAAGGGGAAAACGGCCGAAGGATAGCGGTATGGGAACGTTTTCCTCCTCTGAGCTCTGGCTGACCCCCGCTTGCGTTGCCCCCCGTCCACCGAGCCACGACTTGCGGCTGCCGGGCTCTTGCCGGCGCCTATAGCGGAGTCTCGGCGTGGCTCGCCCGCAGAGGGCACATCTGGGCCCTTACCACGAGGAGCGGCCCTGGCCAAGCACGGCCGCACGGCGGTGTGGCTACCCCCTGCGGGCGGCAGGACCAAAAGGGCACCACGGCCGATGTCTCTCTCTCTCTCTCTCTCTGTCTCTTCGCTTTATTTTCTCAATCTCTCTCTCTCTCTCTCTCTCTACCTCTCTACAATTACACCAACTGAATACTACTCTCCTCTCTCCTGCGAAGACGTCGGTGAGCCTGGCCTCCTCCGCGCGCTGTTTTTCTTGCGAGCAGGATGTCGCCGACATGAGAACTGGTATGTGTCTTCACGCTCCATATCCAAATGTTTACGCAATGAATGTATGGGCGGGAGGGGTCGGCCGTACGCTTGCGCACGGCAGCCGACGACGGCGACGACGACGACGACGACGGCGACGACCACGACGACGACGACGACAACGACGACGACGACGACGACGACGACGACGACGACGACGGCGACAGCGACGACGACGACGGCGACAGCGACGACGACGACGACGACGCCGCACCGCGTGCGTACGTCTCTCCTCCAAAACCGACGGCAGCCGCTGCCGGGCAGGCGACGCCCGTCCCAAGGCGGCACTGCCAGAGGCGACACCGGCAGCGACTCCAGCGGAGAGCGGGCAGGAACTGGGCGTTCTGATGGGCCGATGTTCCACCACCACAGCCACAGGTAGGAGGAGGAGGAGGAGGAGGAGGAGGAGGAGGAGGAGGAGGACGAGAAGGAGGAGGAGGAGGAGGAGGAGGACCTCCCCATCCTCCCTCATCCCCCGTCCTGCCTATGGTACCGGTGGTGAACATTTGCCTGTCGCATTCGGCTACACGCCAAGAGAGACCCTGGGTAAGAATGGCCTGGCTTTTGGGGGGCCGCGGGGGGACCAAACACAGGCTCGCAAGGCGCTACTGTCGCATCGAGTTCGGCGATCAGGGGACCCCAGTGTGCCCGCACCGAAGGTCACTCTGGCGAAGGGTTACTGGTTACTCTCATGTCTAGTCGATTCGTTTCGTCCCCACTGCTGTGCTCCCAATATCTATTCTTGTTGTTCTAGTGTTCTCTCTCTCTCTCTCTCTCGGCATGCGAGGGCCAAGAGCCGCTCGCTTCGCCACGGCGGCGAGTTGACGCGCTTACGTATGTACAGCGGCGGCGCGAGGGCGAATTGCCGCCTCCTGCGTCAACCCGACACTTTGTACACGCGCCGCTGGCCCGAGACAGCAGGGCGCCGCCTGTACACCTCCACCGACCCTGGCCAGCCCACGTCTCTGCCAAAAGGGCCGGCCCTGCCAGGATCGGTGCCGGTGTAGATAGCTGACGCCCTCCGATAAGAGCGCCCCTCCCAACCCCGAGTTCACGCGAGGATGCAACACGCGTGATTGGGAGCCACACGTGACGGACTCGGAGTGTCGCGCCGCATCGGCGATGCCTCGTCGACGTGCGGCGGGATGGAAAGCATCTGCCTCGAGATCGCGCCGCATCGGCGATGCAGCGCGATCCCCCGACCTCATCCACTGCAGCAAACCCGTTCAGACCACCTGGCGTGTTGTTGAGTGGCAGCTTCTTGGAGGTTGTTGTGGGAGCGACCGCGAGCAGTTAGGATGAATTAATGAGCTCTGACGAGGAGGTAGCAGACAGGAAGGAGGTAATTAGCAGGAGGAGGGGCCTGGTCCGCTGCGTATGTCTCTCTCTCTCTCTCTCTCGCGCTCTCCTGTCACGCTGTCGTCTTCGCCCTGGTTCTGAGTATCCGCTCACACTCCCACAGCCGTGCGAACGGCAAGAACAGTTCCGCTCCACGTCCAGACGACGCCCGACGGGGTGCGCTTGAAACCCTGGACCGAGGACTGGCCATCGCTCGGACGTCCATTCCCTGTGTTTTTTTCGGTTTCGTGCGTGTTTTTTCGCCAGATGGTCGAGGATGCTCCTCGATGGTCCTCGCCGAGAAAAAAAGCACACGTCCGAGCGATGCCAGGAGGAATAAAAATATAGCAAACACTGTGCAAACATCAGCCTTCGGCGGTCCCCGCGGTCTCCTCGGGTCGGCGCTGGAGCCCCCTCCCCCGCACCGCTGCCCGGCGCGCGGAATATCCGCGCGGAGCTCCGAAGCAACTGGCCTCGAGGCCATGCGTATCTCGGGGGCGCCCAGCCATGGATTAGCGATCCATGGATTTGGCGCGCGGTCGCCAAATCCATGCATCGGGGGAGGTGCCCTCCCCAAAATGCGGCTGACGCCGCCTCGCTCGGCGGCGGGAATCCGCGACTACCCATTGAGGAACCCATGGAAGCCGGACCCGTCGCTAATCCACGCCCCCTTGACCCATCTTTGCGATCGCCTGACGCAGTGGCTCAGATACGCCACCGTGCGTTCAGCACGAAGTGGAGTTCCCCAAGACTCGGCAGATGCCAGTGCTTCCAAAGATTCACCTGAAGGTTCTGAGGGCCCCGCCCCCAGCAGGCCCAAACGAGACCCCGATAGGCCCCAAGACACCCCAAAGCTGCCTCCAAGAGGCTTCCGAGAGGCCTCTCAATAGACCCTCACAGGCATGGGCCGAAGGCACTAGTTCACAGACGCAACGCGATCACAATCTCAGGGTCGCGCCCGCAACAACTGCGTGGACACGTAAGGTTTGCACGGATGTAACGTGAAGCCAATCACAAGGGCAAGTGTGTGCCTCGAGCTAGTAACGAAAGCTTATCCCTGCGCCGTTGTTGTTCAACCCTCGTCGCACAAAAGCCTACCTCCACCTCGTCAAGTGGCATGTGACGGAGACGGATCCCGAGGGAATCTGGTCCTGGACCACGGGGCTCTTCCCCAGGACCAACTTGTCGTCCCGAGTCGTTTCCCGAGTGATCTGTCAGCCCTGGGAAGGCGCCAGGGGTCCGAAAACGGGAAAACACCTCCCAGGACTCCAGACCTCCGACCCCTTGCTGTTTCGATACCCGTTGGTCGGAAGAAGCTGGTGGCAACATCAGGTGGGAAGGCGCCGGAGGTGGAGTGGGCTCCCGCCCGCCCCCGGAAGAGGAAGGCAAGGGAGAAGCACCCGCCGATTGAAGCAGGAGGGCGCCTCCAGTAGACTGGGATCCGGGAATCCAGAAATACCAACTTTCGACAACCGACGGGTACGGAGCCTCTGGAGCTCTGAATCCATTCCTGGGAGCCGGCCCAGTCGTCCTGGATGCATCGCCCTTTGACCCTCCCAGAGCCCAGCGGGGGGCCCCCCTGGGGCGCCGAGCAACGCCGACAGACATATCCGACCCGATGGTGTTGTCCGCGCGCCAGGGGTCTGGAACGCCCTTCTCCCCTGCAGGCCCCCCTTTCCTTCACGGTCGGAGAGCAGCAGAGCAGCATCCAATGCCGCGCCGCCGTGGGCGGAGCCTTACCTGCGGCGTGGTGCTGTGGAGGGCACACCACAGGTTTGCGAACACGGACGGAGGAACGACACGCTGGTGGGTCCAAACGGCAGCGTGGCAAAGGCACTCTGCTAAGACGAAGCCAGGACGCTGGCAAAACCATGTGGTGGTGAACCGAGAATCTCTGAGATCCCGCGCCTCCGGAGGATGTCTCGGGCGCCGCGGCCAGAGGATGTCTCGGGCGCCGCGGCTCTGGAGGATGGCTCGGAGCGTTGCAAATTGCAAGCGGAGGGGGAAGAACGGTACACTTCTCGGGCCCTGGAGGCCCCTTGCTGGGTCAAAGAGGGCCCCTCTGGGGACCCTGAAGGGCTCCTCTGCAGCCCTCGCTGCCCCCTCCCCCCCCCCATTTATCGCGCCCACCCCCAATGACGCGACGCCCACCCGGACAGCTCCGAGAGCATCCCGGAACGCCCTGGAAGGGATGGATCCTCGTCCTGGCCCCGCCCGATCTGATGGGCCTGTTCTCCACCACCACCACCATATAAGTTGGACGGGGGAAGGAGGAGGAGGACGAGGAGGACGAGGAGAACGAGGAGGAGGAGGACGAGGAGGAGGAGGAGGAGGAGGGCCCCCTCCCCCTCCCACGTCCGGTGGCGGTGGTGGACAGCGGGCCCACCACGCTCCGCAGCCCCTCCCCGCCACGGCGAGCACCGTCAGGCGGCCGCTCCGTGGGAGCCGGCCGCCTCGGCCGCCCCGCCGGCGCCCGCGTCCTCGAGGGCGGCAGGGCCGCGGAGCGGCGCGCGCCGCAGCAGCGACAGGCCCACGGCGGCGGCGTCGACGAGCGCGGCGCCCGGGAGCGCCCACAGCGCGTGCGGCCAGCTCCTCTCGCGAGGGGGGGGGGTGCAGCGCTCCCCATCGCTCGGACGGCCATTCCCCGTGCCTTTTTTGCGGCTTCGTGCGTGGTTTTGTTCGCCAGATGATCAAGGACGCTCCTGAATAATCCCCGCGAAGAAAAAGTGCACACGTCCGAGCGATGCCAAGAGCGAGAAGGGGGTGGTGCGGCAGATCTGGTGCGATGGGTTTCGGGGGCTGCCGTAGTTTCTGGGTTGCGCGCTACGTCGCGGTGCGCAAGGTGTGCTGCTGGATCTTTGCGGGTGCAAGACATCAGTTGCAACAGAATGCAGTACAGCTTTCTGGCGCAGCACATGTGCAATACACCTGTCCCGAATCTATTGCACCACCCCCTTTCAGCTGGACCGCCCTTGGGTCACGAGGATCCTCGCGCACAGAAGTTGGCTTACCCTTGATTCCCGTGAGGTCACCACGATTTGAGACTCGCTGAAGCATGTGCACACATACGGCCATATCCAAAACGACCACACCCAAAACAACCACTTGCACCGCGCCTATGCTCAACGACATCACCCTATAAAATGCCGACGTGCATTTCTTACGCACGCCCACACGCCTGCCTCACGCTCACAGGCCGAAGTTAGCCTCCCCAACTCTTGCAATAATCACGTAGGAACCATCGCAGAGGGCACCGTGCACGCTACCCCCTCCAGATCTCCGACGATCTGATTTTTCCGACCACCGCCGTGTCTCCCCGATGTTCGGTCCTCGTGAGCCGTTTTCGGGCCCGGGGGGCCGGCGGAATTCGGGGCGAAAAGCTATACCCCAAGGGGGGTTGGGAGGCCCCCCCCCATGGGACCGCGCGCTGACACCGTGGCGCCTCCGCCGCCCTCCACAGACCCCCGTTGCATGAATTTTTTCATAACCTCGGCCCCCAGAGGTCTCGACCCGTTCCCCAGGGACTGGCGGCTTTCCATCTGGAGCTGTTTTCTGACGCGCCCGAGGCTCTCAGGGCCACAGAAGTCGAAAACAGCGAAACACCTTCCACAACTTCTTCTCACGACGAGAGGGGGCTCTGGGGACGGCCCCTGGGGACGCTCGCTGAAACCGTGGCGCCTCGTCGTCGTCGTCGTCGTAGTCCTCGTCGTTGTCCTCGTCGTCGTTGTCCGCGTCGTCGTCGTGTCGTCGTCGTCCTCGTCGTCGTAGTCGTCGTCGTCCTCGTCGTCCTCGTCGTCGTCCTCGTCTTCGTCGTCGTCCTGGTCGTCGTCCTCCTCTTTCTCGTCCTCGTCGTCCTTGTCGTCGTCCTCTTCGTCGTCCTCGTCGTCCTCGTCGTCGTCCTCTTCGTCGTCGACGTCGTCGTCCTCGTCGTCGTCGACCTCGTCATCCTCATCGGGGTCGTCCTCGCCGTGGACGTCCTCGTCGTCGGTCTCGTCCTCATCGTCGTCCTGGTCGTCGTGCATGTCATCGTCGTTGTCAACCTCGTCCTCGTAGTAGTCTACGTCGTCGTCGTCACATCGTCCTCGTCGCGTCGTCCGCATCGTCCCCGTCGCTGTTGTCGACCTCGTCTTCTCGTCGTCGTCGTTCTGATCGCCATCCTCGTCGTCCCGTCGCCGTCCTCGTCGTCATCGGTCTCGTCGACGTCGTCGTCGTCCTTGTCGTCGTCGTCGTCCACATCGTTGTCGTCCTTGTCATCGTCGTCGTCCTCGTCGTCGTCGCCCTCGTGGCAGGTGTCGTCGTCGTCGTCCTCATCCTCGTCGTCGTCGTCCTTGTCAACGTCATCGTCGTCGTCATCGTCGTCGTCGTCGTCGTCGTCCTCGTCGCCGTCGTTGTCCGCCTCGTCCTCGTCGTCGTCGTCGTCGCCATCGCTGTCGTTGTCGTCGTTGTCCTGATCGTCGTCGTCGTCCTCAGCGTCGTCGTTGTCATCCTCGTCATCATCCTCGCCGTCAACGACGTCCTCGTCGTCGTCGTCTTCGGCATCCTCGTCGTCGTCGTTGCCTCGTCGTCGTCGTCCTCGTCGTCGACGTCGTCGTCGTCGTCGTCTTCGTCCTCGTAATGGTCATCCTCGTCCTCGTCAACGTCGTCCTCGTCATCCTCATCGGCATCGTCCTCGCTGTGGCCATCCTCGTCGTCGTCGTCCTCGTCCCCCGTGTCGTCGTCGCTGTCGTCGTGCTCGTCGTCGTCGTCGATCTCGTTGTCGTCACGGTTAACGTCGTCGTCCTTAAAGTCGACAGCGTCCTCCTCATCGGCGTCGTCCTCGTCGCCGTGGTCGTTGTCGCTGTCGTCGTCCTCATCGCCGCTGTCGTCCTCGTTGAACTCGTCGTCTTCGTCGACGTACTCGTTGTCGTCGTCGTCTCGTCGTCCTCGTCGTCGTCGTCTCGCAGTCCTCTTCGTCGCCAGTTTCGTCCTCGTCGTCGCCGTCCTTCACCGTCGTCGTCCTCGCCGGTGTCGTCCTCGTCGTGGTCGGCGCAAACGTCCTCGTCCTCCTCGTCGCCGCTGTCGTCCTCGTCGTCCTCGTCGTCGACGTCGTCGTCTCGTCGTCCTCGTCGTCGTCGTCGCTGAAGTCCTCGTCGTCCTCATCGTCGTCGTCGCCGTTGTCGTCTTCGTCGTCCTCGTCGTCCTCGTCGGCCTCGTCGTCATCGTTGTGGTCGTCGTCGTCGTGGTCGTCCTTGTCGTCGTCGTCGTCCTCATCGTAGTCGTCCTCGGCGTCGTCGTCGTCCTCGTCGTCGTCGGCGTCCTCGTCATCGTAGTCCTCGTTCTCGTCGTCTTCGTCCTCATCGTCGTCGTCCTCGTCGTCGTCCTCGTCGTCGTCACCGTCGTGGTCGCGTCGACGTCGTCGTCATCTTTGTGGACGTCGTCGTCGTGGTCGTCCTTGTCGTCGTCGTCGTCCTCGTTGTTGTTGTCGTCCTCGGCGTCGTCGTCGTCGTCGTCGTCCTCCTCGTCGTCGACCTCGTCGTCGTCGTTCTCGTCATCGTCGTCACCGTCGTCGTCGCTTCGCCGTCGACGTCGTCAACGTCGTCTTCATCATCGTTGTGATCGACGCCAGTCTTGTCGTCGTCGTCCTTGTCATCGCCGTCCTCGTCGTCGTTGTTCTTGTCGTCGTCGTCCTCCTCGTCGTTGTCGTCGTCCTCGGCCGCTGTTGTCCTCGTCGTCCTCGACGCTGTCGTCCTCGTCGTCGTCGTCGTCCTTGTCGTCCTCGTCGTCTTCGTCCTCGTCGTTGTCGTCTACCTCGTCGTCGTCGTTGTTGCCTCGTCGTCCTCGTCGTCGGCGTCATCGTCGGGTCGTCGTCTTCGTCGTCGTCTTGGTCGTCCTCGTCGTCGTCGGAAGCGTCGTCTTTGTTTTCGACCTCGTCGTCGTCATCCTCGTCGTCGGCGTCGTCCTCGTCCTCGTCTTCGTCGTCGTCGTCATCCTCGCCGTCGTCGTCGTCGTCGTCGTCGGACTCGTCGTTGTCATCCTCGTCGTGGTTGTCGTTGTCTTTGTCGTCCTCGTCTACTTCGTCGCACTCGTCGTTTTCGTCGTCGTCCTCATCCTCGTCGGTGTCGTCGTCGTCGTCTTCCGCATCGTCGTCGTCCTTCTTGTTGGTGTCCCTTCGCCGTCGTCTTCCTCTTCGTCGTCGTCGGCGTCCTCAACATCGTCGTCGTCGTCGTCCTCGTCGTCGTTCTCGTCTTCGTCGTCGTAGTCGTCCTCGTCGTCGCTCGCTGTCGTTGTCCTCGTCGTCTTCCTCGCCGTCGTCGCCATCGTCGTCGTCGTCACCGTCGTCGTCGTCGTAGTCGTCGCCGTCGTCCTCGTCGTCGTCATCGGCGTCGTCGTCCTCGTCGCCGTCGTCCTCATCGTCGTCCTCGCCATCATCCTCGTCGACGTTCTCCTTGCCGTCGTCGTCGTGCGCTTCGACCTCCTCGTCGTCCTCGTCGTCGTCCTCGTCCGCGTCGTCGTCGCGGGCGTCCTCGTCGTCGGCGTCGTCGTCGTTCTCGTCACCGTATTCGTCGTCATCCTCGTCGTTGTCGTCGTCGCTGTCGTTGTCGTCGTCATCGACGGCGTCGTCCTCGTCGTCGTCGCCCTACTCTTCGTCGTCGTAATCGTCGTTGTCGTCCTCATCGTCGATGCCGTCGTCGTCGTCCTCGTCTTTCTCGTCGTCGTTGTCCTCGTCCACGTCGTCGTCGTCGCCACGTCGTTGTCGTACTCGTCCTCGTCGTCGTCGTCCTCGTCGCCGTCGTCGTCGTGGTCCTCATCCAGGTCGTTGTCGTCGTCGTCCTCATCGTCGTCGTCGGCGTCCTCCTCGTCGTCGTTGTCCGTGTCGTCGTCCTCGTCGCCGCTGTCAACCGCGTCGTCCTCATCGTCGTCGTCCTCGTCGCCGCTGTCGTCCGCGTCGTCCTCGTCGTCGTCTCGCCGTCTGTGTCATAATCGTCGTTGTCGTCCTCGTCGTCCTCGTCGTCGCTCTTGTGTTCCTCATCTTCGTCGTCTTCCCCGTCGTCGCCAACCAATCACCGCCGTTGTCGGCCTCGTCCTCGCCGTAGTCGTCGTCATCGTCGTCGGCGTCGTCCTCGTCGTCGTCATCGTCCTCGTCGTCGTCGTCGCTCTTGTGTTCCTCGTCTCCGTGGTGTTCCCCGACGAAGTCGACCAATCGCCGTCGTGGTCGTCCTCGGCCTCGCCGTAGTCGTCGACGTCCTGGACGTCGTCGTCGACGTAATCTTCGTCGTCGTCGTCCATGTCGTCGTCGTCGTCCTCGTCGTCAGCCTCGTCGTCATCGTCGTCTTCGTCCTCGTCGTCGTTGTCGTCCTCGTAGTCGTCGCCGTCGTCGATGTCATGGTGGTCGGGATTGTCGTCGTCGTTCTCTGCGTCGTCGTCGTCGTCCCTGTCGTCGTGGTCGTCCTTGCCATCGTCAAAGTGATCTCCGTCCTCCTCGACGTCGTCGCCATCCTCGTCGTCGTCGTCGCAGTCGTCCTCGTCCTCGTCGTCGTCGTTGCAATCGTCCTCGTCGCCGTCGCCGTCGTCGTCGTCCTCGTCGTCGTCGTCGCCCTACTCCTCGTCGCAGTCGCCGTCGTCGTCGTCCTCGTCGCCCTCGTCGACGTCGTCGTCGTCGTCCTACTCCTCGTCGTCCTCGTCGTCGTCGTCCTTGTCGTCGTCGTCGTTTTCATCGCCGTCGTCGTCGTCGACGTTGTCCTTGTCGTCGTCGTCGTCGTCGTCGTCGTCCTCGTTTTCGTCCTCGTCCTCGCCGTCGTCGTCCTCGTCGTCGTGGTGGGCGCAGCCGCCGACGCCGCCGAGGTCCGATGCGGTTCGAGTGTCGCCGTCAAGGTTCGAATCGGCGGCGAGCGAGGGGAGGAAGTGAGAAGGAGTAGGCCTTCCCAGAAGGAGGCGGGGCTTCTGTCAAGCCCTCGTCGTCTTCTGATAGGCATCTGTGTCGCCGGGGAAGGCCCAGAAAACCTCTCCTACGGCCGGGGGTCTTGCGAGCCTTGTGAGAAGGCCCGCCCCTTCTCACTTCCAAGGCGATGACTATCTTTAGGACGTGCCCTCAGGTGCTGGGGAAGTCCTCAGGATCGGCACCGCGGTGAGATGATGCCAACCATGGGAATAGGGATGTGTTCCAGGCTGGTACTCAGAGAACCGCTCAGAAGGTCACAAGAGCCAGAAATCGTGCCACTTCCTTCGGAAGGAACGCGATGTTGGGCGTATTCGCTGTTTGGGTCCGCGCGGCGTCCAGGACTGCCCAAGATGGGGAGCCCATTAATGATGTTCGCGCCGAGCCACGTGCATGAATGCGGCCCCCCAGTCCGCAAGGCTCCCAGAATTCGGGCACAAGATGTGTCCGAGGCGCCTTATCCGGCGCTGCCGGCTCCCTCTGTGCTGCGCGGCGAAGGAAAAGGAGAAGGGGAACAAGAAGCAAGCAGACGAAGGTAAACGCGCAGGCGGGAGGCCAGGGCCGGCGGGACGAAGCAGGCGGGCGGGCATGCGGAAAGGGACCGAAGGAGACAGCAACCAGGGAGCAAGGAAAGGAAAAGGCAAGGGAGAGGAGGGACGGGAGGCGAGGAGGGAGGGGAGCAACTGCAAGCAGACGCCAGAACAGGGGCCGGGGGGAGAAGGGCCAGCCGCGACGAGGCTGCGGACACTGCGGCGGCGTTACGAGTGCAGGAGTGGGTGGCGGTGGTCGGGTCCATCGTCGGGTTCGTCGTGCGGGAGTGGGGCTGGGCGTGGGGCGGGGCGTGGGGCTGGGCGTCGGGGCTGGGCGTCGGGCTGGGCGTCGGGGAAGGCGTCGGGATAGTCCTGGGGTGCCCGGCCGAGCCCAGCACGCGAGGCCAGCCTCATGTTGCGAACGTTTGCGAAGCGCCTACTTTCGAAACCAACGTGGGCTCATGTAGTACAGTCATCGGCCTGACCTAAGGAACGATCATTAAGGAACGAAGCTCTGTTTGTTCCAAGTAAGTCTACAGTCCTAAGGAACGGCCGAGCCCCTTTCTAGCGCCAAAAAGGTAGCGGAACGCATGCAAAACCAAGGAACGACTGAGCCCCTCTTGAAAAGTAAGTGTTCCATATTCAAGCCGCTCACCGTATATGTAATGGGAAGAACTGGCCATCGAAGAATTGGGGTCGCCCATCCCCTTGCCAACCCTTTCGAGCCGCGCAGTGTGCTGGAAGCGAGCGGGCACGCTGGGACTGAGCGTTCTGGCGTCAGCGGGACCCAGAGTCCCAAAAATGTGGGGATGTCCCAGGCGAAACAAACCCTGGCGCCCTTGCCCGCAAACCCCCAATAATCAATTCAACCCTCCCGGCCAACCCTTGTTACAACACAACAATTCTTTCCAAACGACATCATATGCGTCCTTCTTTCGCTCCTGACGAGGAGGCCCCCAAGATCGCCAACGACGGCCCAGGAGTTTCTCAAGAGGGCCCCACGACGGCCTGAGAGGCCCAAGGGTAGGGTCTCAGCACCCCCAGATAATTATCTAACGATATGATCGTTTCGAGGCGCGCCCCAAAAATAGAAGCCTCCTAGATAGGGTCCGAGTGGATGGGGTTCGGAGGATCGCGCCGCATCGCCGATGCGGCTTGATGTGGAGTCCGTCTTCTCCACGCCAACGTCGCGGGTGCATCGCAAACGTCGCGGATGCATCGACGATGCATCGGCGATGCGGCGCGATCCTTCGACCCCTTCTACTCATGACCTGACCACCTATCAGACCACCCCAACCTCACCCGAAGACCCAAACTTCGGGTTGGAGGGGGAAGGGTTCCACGCGCGTCTTTGTCAGTGTTCTCCGACGCCCCTCCTCCTCCCGCCTCCGCTCCCCCCCGATCCTCGCCCACCGCGGCACGGCGGCCTTGCCGCCGAACCGCGCGGCGGGCACGACCGGGCCGTCGAGCCCGCACAGGGCGCAGAGCCCGCCGGAGAGGGCGCCGCCAGCCCGTGCCTGACTACCTGCCAGACCACCCCAACCCAACCCGAAGACCCGAATTTCGGGTTGGGGGGGGTAAGGGTTCCACACGTGTTTTTTCGACGTTTCCCGACCCCCCCCCACTGGAAATCGAGGGTAAATCTGAGCCTTCGGGTTGGGTTGGGGTGGTTTGGTGGGTGGTGAGTGCCACGAAGCCGCCCGCGTCGCCCGCGGCGGGGCCCCGCGGCGCCGCAGCCTGCCGGGGAAGGGCGCCGGCGGAGGCACGGCCGCACAGCGGCCCTGGCCGGGCGCGTCCCCTGGGCGCGCGGGAGGTCGGCGCACGGAGGCCCCCCCGGCCGGGGCGGGGAGGGCCTCCGTGCACCGAGCCGCTCGGGCCCGCGCTCGGCCCGGCCAGGATATCGCTGCAGGCGTTGGTGGGCAGCTCTTCCACCACCACCACCACAGGCAGGACGGGGGGGAAGGGATGAGGAGGTCCTCCTCCTCCTCCTCCTCCTCCCTCCTCCTCCTCCTCCTCCTCCTCCTCCTCCTCCTCCTCCTCCTCCTCCTCCTCCTCCTCCTCCTCCTCCTCCTCCTCCTCCTCCTCCTCCTCCTCCCTCCTCCTCCTCCTCCTCCTCCTCCTCCTCCTCCTCCTCCTCCTCCTCCTCCTCCTCCTCCTCCTCCTCCTCCTCCTCCTCCTCCTCCCCTCCTCCTCCTCCTCCTCCTCCTCCTCCTCCTCCTCCTCCTCCTCCTCCTCCTCCTCCTCCTCCTCCTCCTCCTCCTCCTCCTCCTCCTCCTCCTCCTCCTCCTCCTCCTCCTCCTCCTCCTCCCCTCCTCCTCCTCCTCCTCCTCCTCCTCCTCCTCCTCCTCTCTCCTCCTCCTCCCTCCTCCTCCTCCTCCTCCTCCTCCTCCTCCTCCTCCTCCTCCTCCTCCTCCTCCTCCTCCTCCTCCTCCCTGGCAGTGGTGGTGGAGAGTGGGCCCATCCAGCGTCGGCGCCCTCTGGAGCCTGCCGCGCCGACTGCCAGCAGTCCACCCGGTCCTGGAACTTCCGGAACAGTGCCTGCGGGCGCGCTGCGCGGGCGGGGCCGCCACGGAGAGGAGCAAGACGGGGAGCGGGAGGGTGGATGGGGAGGAGGAGGACCAGTGTAAACCCATCAGTCACCAACGATGTTGGAATGCAACCTCCCCCAAGCTCCCTCTTCATAGGCCCCATACAGATACTCATTTGCACTGGGTGAGCTGCCTCGTTGGAAGACAACCGCCGTTCGAAGACCCTGAAGCATGCCCAAACATCATTCTCCGGACTCCAACGCCACGGAACAAGCTGACTTTTGCGTCTTGGCGATCCTGAATCGTGTCGGATCGCCATTCCTGGAACTTCAACACAGCGAATTGCTCCACCCTCATAATCCTGAACCTGTCCAAACCATCAGTTCTGGTACGTTGACCATGGGAATCCGTAAAACTCTTGCAAATGTTTAGAAATGAATGAGCGCGGTGCTAAGGCGAGAACCGCATGTTGAAAAGAAAGCATCCCAGTGCGACCCTACCTAGGAGTCGGAGCATTTAGGAAAGCAGCATCTACATCTACACCGACAGCTACATGTACATCTACACCTGCATCTACATCTACATCTACATCAACATCAGCAGTGAGACTCACATCTACACATACATATACACCTACATATACACCTACATCTACGTCTACATCGATGCTGCGCTATGATATGTTATGATATGTTATGATATGGTATGATATGCTGCACTGTGATATGTTATACAATGATATGTCATGATATGACATGATGCGCTATGCTATGATATGCTATGCTATGATGTGCTATGCTATGCTATGCGATGCTGCGATATGCTATACTATGCTGAACTATGCTATGCTATGATATGCTGCGCTATGCTATGCTATGCGATGCTATGCTATGAAATGCTATGCTGCGCTATGCTGTGTTATGCTAGGCTATGCTATGCTATGCTGTGCTATGCTATGCGATGCTGCGCTGTGCTCTGCTGAGCAATGCTATGCTATGCGATGCTATGCTATGCTGCGCTATACTATGATATGCTATGATATGCGATGCTAGACTGAGCCATGCTGTGCTATGTCATACTATGCTTGGTTATGCTATACTATGCTAGGTTGTGCGAATGCTGCGCTGCGCTATGCTGCACCAAGCTAAGCTAAGGTAAGCTAAGCTATGCAGCTATGCTAAGCTAAGCTAAGCTAAGCTAAGCTAGGCTAAGCTAAGCTAAGCTAAGCCAAGCTAAGCTGAGCTACGCTAAGCTAAGGTGAGATCAGCTAAGCTAAGCTAAGCTAAGCTAACCTAAGCTAAGCTAGGCTAGGCAAAGCTAAGCTAAGCTAAACTAAGCTAAGATGATATAAGCTAAGCTAAGCTAAGCTTAGCTTAGCTTAGCTTAGCTAAACTTACGGGGAACCGCGGGGCGGATCCTGGGGGAACCGCGGGGCGGATACTGGGGGAACCGCCCGGGGCGGGTTCCACTGCCCGGCCCTTTAAGCTACGGAGTAAGAACCCTTCTAGGCAGAGCATAGGTAGGGAACCAACCTCAACCCTTGAACTGTTGCAAATGTTTAGAACGAATGCGCGCGGCGCTAAATCGAGAGCCACATGTTTGAAACGACCCGCCCTCCATCTGTGAAAAAGATGCTAATGTTTAAGCCTCAAGGTCATCAATGGTGAGGAAGTCTCAGGCGGAACGCACGGCCCGACCTTTCGACCATCCTCGGGGTGCGACAGGGAGAAGCTATTCATACGGCATAGGAGGAGGAGGAGGAAGAGGAGGAGGAGGGAAACGCCCCAGCTGCACTAGTACAGCTTATGCCCGCTAAACGTCAACAGAAAAGAGGATTGTCGGATCGGATAGACTCGAACACTGTGCGTGTCGGAGGGTGACGGGCTGTGCACACACGGGCATTCCACTCTACATGCGCTCTTTGTCTAGACAGTCGTGCACTCTCGCGTTCGAAGAGGAGAAGGAGGAATGCGAAGGGAAGGGAACACGGGGACATGAGGGAGGAAGGGGGATGTGGGAGGTGGACGGGGAGGACGCACGCGGAGGAGAGGGAGGTTGGAGCACCAGGATTACCAGCTGAGCGCACCAGCGTTCGGTACCGACGGCCATGACAAACTCGCTCGATCGTTCTTGCGGTTTGCGCTCACGCTGCGTACTGCGTGGGTGGCAAGCCTCGATAGTATAAGCAGGCGGTGATGAGGCTCTGGGGAACTCCAATTGATGGATACTGGCAAGATTTTTCGCGCTCGGGGGAGGGGGAGGGAAGTCGGAGGCGGGGGGAGGAAAGGAAAGGAAAAAACGAAGGGGAGATGAGGATCCGTGTTTTTGCGAGCATTCGGTTCCCGGGGGGAGGGAGGGCAGGGAGGAAGGGAGGGATGGCGCGAGGGAAGAAAGAACCAGGAGAGAGGGAGTTTCTGCTGGATGCGAACACATGGCGCGCACTGCTCCCGCAGGGGTGTGCACGCTGCGCGGCATCGACAGCTTGTTGCCCCCAACGCCCAGGCACAACCAGCGGCGCCGGCGGTCCAGGAGAGCATCGGGGCGCCCTGCGTCAGAGGCTCGTCGCAACTCTGGCGGTCCGCCGCCGCAGCTGAAGGGAAATTAGGACACACAAATAAATACACACAAATAAAAATAGTCCCCATATTTTCCAATATTTTCTGGGTTTTTGTTTTCCCCCTCAATTCCCATATTTTCCCATATTTTCCTGGGAATCGAAGATTAATTGTGTCTGTGTGTTTTTTTCCCTCCTGAGCAGCTTCCGGGGGGGGGGGGCGGAGCGCGACACGAAGGGGCACGCGCCTGCCGACCTTCTCGCCGAGACGCCTCGGGCGCAAGGCCGACGAGGAGCAGAGCGGACTCGCCGTGACCCACGAAGGCCCCCATACGTAGAGCATTCTCCAAGGAGAGCGAGGGAAGGGATGAGGCCCCAGCACCTCGCAAACCGAGTCTTCGCCAGCTCGCGGAGTCCCGCACTGCGTCCTGTAAGGCAACAGCCCTGCGTGCCACTTGCAAGCCTGCCGTCCGGTGAGCTTCACGACGCCCGACCAGACTTTGATCACCCAGGCGATGTGCGTCACCTCTGGGATATCGCGGGAGGAGAGTTTGAGATATTTCAACATGTTGTACGGCAGCCAATCCGCATCCTGGAAGGAGCTTCTGGATCAACCGCTCCTCGTTCTTTGCGGAGCGGATCCAACTGTGACGCGCGAAGGGGGCCACAGAAACGATTATTGCCCATCGTGCTGCTACTTGGCGCCAAAGCCGACGAGCTTCGACCACATTACGTGGCGATGGTCCTGTTGCACAATTGGCATGCCAAGCAGAAGGAACTGCTGACATTGGGGGATTCAGCTTAGCCAACACTTGCGTACCATCCGTTGGAAAAAAGTCCGACACATGACGTAGGAAGGCGTTGCAAGTGGATTTGGCTTCCGCCCGCCCCCTGCAGACCAAGGAAGAGGCACACCACCCGATCTTGACGTCGGAAAGCGCCTCAAGTATATATCAGAGCATGGGGATCCAGGAGCACTTTACTCTCGGCCCGCGGCTAGCACTGCCTCTGTGCATGCCTGGCAAGCCGCGCAAAACTCACCCCATCTCTGCCGGTACCTCGGGAGCGGCCAAGAGGGGGGTGTCCAAGAGGGGGGGGTGCAAATCATGACCGGCGGCATGTGCGCGGCCCGGCGGGGGGGCCAGGGACGTGATAAAATAAGAAGAGGCGCCATGAGATCTGGGGAAATATCATGGCCCCCGCCATGATATCCACCCCCCCCTAGTCATCACCCCCCTCTTTTCCGCCCCCGAGTACCATGCCCGTCCAACGCATGGGAGGCGAACTGGGCAATGTCGCGTCCACCTCAGCAGCCATCACCGTCCAGCTCGGGAGCCCGTCGGCGGCGTTGACGGACGAGGAGGGACGAGCCAACCGGAAGGGAGTGGAGGCAGGGGGGGAAGGGGATTAGCGAGGGAGACAATGGAATGGAACACCGTCGCGATGCGAACCTTCCGATATCTTAACGAGGGAGGAAGGAGGAAGTGGCCAGGAGGAGAGAGGCACCAGGGAGGAGGGGGCTGGCAAACTATCGAGATGGAGGGATGGAGAGAGGAATGTGAGGGAGGACCGAGGAAGGAGCATGGAGGGAGGGCGCAAGAGTCCTGTCCATCAAGCGACACCACCTGTTTGAGACGCCTGCCCCCAGAAATCGAGAGCCCGCACCAGGCGCCCGTGCAGGGAAACGGCCACCAAATCCAGAACACGTTTGTGAGGACAGCACAGCCCCCCACCCCACCCGCAGCCAGGATCCCCACTCCCGACCTGGTGATCCATAGGGGCCTTGCTGGGGCTGGGGCTGGGAGTGTGTTTTTGAAGCTCTTGGTGGCCAAATGACCGTCCTCACCCCCAGCCGCGGCCCCCTGGAACACCAGGTCAGGAAAGGGGTCCTGGCTGCAGGTGAGGGTCGGCTGCGATGCCCTCCGTTGTTTCGAAAAAAATCCGCCACCGCGCCCGGAGGCACGAAATGAAGTGTCCTTGGGTCCTTGGCCTAATCCATTACACGTTGGTCGGAAGAAGCAGGTACTAATACTAAGGAGGAAGGTTGATCAAGTTGATCGGGATCTGGAAATCCCAAATACCTACTTTGAACGAACGGCGTGCAAGCCCCATTCCTTAATCCTGAGGATTCTTCACCGGGCCAAGACCACAAATTCTCAAATTTCCCAGGGCTTGCCGCGTGCCCCCTGCGCTCACCCGAATGCTCCCCCACAACATTTTCGGGGCCAAGAGGGTCCCCAAGACAGGCCAAAAAGGGCCCCAAGAGAATGCCCATGCATTGCGGTCCATGTCGCGCAAGAAGGCCCCAAAACGGCCCAAGAAGCCTTCGGGATGCCGCGAAAGAGCCCCAAGAGCCTTCCTAAGAGGGCTCCGAGAAGCCAAAATCATTGAGATCCCCTACGTGTTCCAACGTTTTTGTGGTTCTCCACTTTTCATGCTTCCGACGCTCCAAGACGT